CATTGAAGAAGATGAGGAATATGCGAAGTCGCGTGTTCGAATCATGTTCACATGCAGCGAATCCAACGTGAGCTTTCACACCGAATCCCGAGAAACATGAGTTGGAGAGCGTCAGACCATTGTGATAACTTTGCAGCTGAAAGTGCGGTTTTCAACCGTCGACGAAATCATCCTGCCAACCTATTTATGTATTGAGATTTCAGTTGTTTTGTAATGACAACATAGATGTTACTTTTTCTAGCCACCACGTTATAATAATCGAGGTTAGAGATTTATCAGTTAAGCGGTCATATCATCCGTATTCAGTCTTAGCTGACTACGTTTGAAAACACTGGATAATTGACAACACTGGTGTTAAATATGTTCTTAAAATCGATTGAGGAAGACGGTGATGGGTAATATAAAAGCAATATGGAGAAGTTAAATGCAGAAGTAATGTTATGCGTAGCTTCTAAGCCGGACAGTTATTGTAGAGGATACGTTGCGTAAAGGAATAAAGCGTGACTGGTTATTGACCAAGCGCTTTCAGTCAGCGATAGGTTTAGTAAAACTAACGTAGTTAGCATCAACATCAAATGTTCACAAATTCAAATGGTTGTTGACGGAATGGAAGAAGCTTTCGCTTAACAGGCTTCCGTATCTAGTAGCAGGGGATCACCAAATCCTCCAGGCAGGAACATAGGTATGTTAACAATAAAAGAGGAAAAGAAATTGGTAAATCATAGTGTGATGCTGTCCTTGGTCCTTAAGAATAGGTCAAGTTGCTTCATGAAGGACTCCTGAGAAGTCGCTTGGACTAGCTCGGCCGGCAGCGAATTCCAGCTTTTGACAACTCTTAAGGAGTAGAAGTTGTGTCTACATTCCGTCTTGCTATTGTAGATCACCAACGTAGACGATCTATGTCGAAAATGATTGCAGACCTACTCGAGTTAGACGTGAATGGTGTGACAAACTAGCTAACATCGAAGTCACACCTCATGGTCAGCACCTTACGTGGACTACCCCATTGACGTATCAAGGTAACATAGATGCTTTGAAGACCGTACAACACAGAGGACGTTATTACAGAATTATATTAGTTAAGGTAGATACAAGCGAAAGTAAGACCACTGCCGCATGGGCCAGTCCATGGCATATGATTAACTAATGCGCGTTGTCTGTACATGACTTTGGCAGGGAGCGATGATCTGTTCGACATTCAGTGATCCAACTGCCGGATGATTTGGCTAGGGCTCAGTGACATTTCACTGGCCCTACACTATGTTGTGTTTCCAGTTTCTGGGTGTTACCCCTTAGGTTATTATTCGAACTAAGCTTAAGTAGGTGTTTAAGAGGATGTCCAGAAGTGTTAAGAATACTATAAGCCATTAATAAATCACCTCTAAGACGCCTATATTCTAATGGGTAAAGGTCTAGTGAACGGAGGCGTTCTTCGTAAGGCTTAGATTTGAGTCCTCGAACTGATTTCGTGGCTCGCCGTTGGATACGCTCCAAAGTGACCTTGTCCTTTTGGAGTGAGGGGCGGAGTACTATGTTTCCGTACTCTAAATGGGGACGGATGAAACTATTGAAGATTGTGTGGAAAGTTCTTCCGTCAAACTGGCCAAAAATGCGCCTCAACGTTACCAGTGCAAGGTTTGCTCGGAAGGCATTTTTGTCACAGTTAGCGTAAGACTTTAAATCATGGGGCACCAGGACTCCTAAATCTTTTTCGACTTGGGATACTACTAGAGAGGAGTTTCCTAAGTTGTAACTGTAGTTTGCGACATGTCGCAGATGGACTACTTTACACTTTGAAGTGTTAAAGGTAAGTCCGTTATCGTCTGCCCAACTTTGAAGTCGAGTCAGATCCTCCTGAAGTGCCTGTGTATCGTCTTGGTTGCGTATCTCTCTCCAAAGTTTCACGTCGTCGGCAAAAAGTAATAAGTCTGACGTTACCTGTTGAGGAAGATCATTTATGTAGATCAAGAAGAGGAGAGGCCCTAGTACTGAGCCCTGGGGGGACCCCACTAGGACATTCCATAGCCTGAGATAAAGTGAAATTAACCCTAACCTTAAAGTGTCGATTTTTTAGGTATGAAGTAAGCCAATCGATTAGGGGTGATAAGACACAAGTGGTTAACCTTATCAAAAGCTTTTGAGAAATCAAGGTAAATGACATCAACCTTTCCCTTGCAATCGAGGATGCTTGTCCATCTGTCCACCGCAGTCACCAGGTTGGTTATACAAGAGTAACCCTTCCTGAAACCATGCTGTTGGGGTGAGAAGAAATTTAAGGACAGTAGATAGTCATTTAAACCGCCGCATATCAGGGACTCCATGAGTTTTGAAGGTAATGACAGAAGAGCCACCGGCCGATAACTTGAAGTTTCATTGCGTCGACCACCTTTGAAAATTGGTGTGATGTGAGCCAACTTCCAATTTTCCGGTAATTTGCCTCGGCTAAGCGAGTGAGAAAACATCACGCTAAGCGGCGTTGCCAGGATTGAGGCTGCCTCCCTCAGTATGGCAGGATGAACCGTATCCGGGCCAGTCAGAGGATTAAACTTCAGAAGTATATATACATTGTAAATTCGAATAACTCTTGAAGATAAAGAGCGCTGTGGACATTCAATATTAGTGTCTACATTATTAGTTGCAATCAACCCTACGACCTGAGGGTGCTCGATCAACTGCGGTATCCAAATCCTAATAAACTCCATTTGAGACGTTTCTTCTCCTGTGGATACTTGACTTCGTGGTCCCAATTTCATCTAAATGTTGCCTTACTTGTACGTGTTTTTCCTCTCATCTTTAATGGTACTTGACATTGTACAATTCAGTCCTATCGTATATGACATATCTTCAACGTTTGTTTCATCGGAGTTACTACTTAAAGCCATCAGACTACTCACATTTCACTGTGAATCAGAGTTGTCTTTTTATTTTTAAGAATTCAGTCTTTGTGCAACTGCTTCATCATGAGTTTGCTCAGCACACTCGTTACAAAATAATCTCAACTTATTTTAGGATTTTACCAATATTCGTACGTTAATTGCACTGTAGTGGTAAATACATCCCTCAAGTTTATCGGCCGGTGGCTCTTCTGTCATTACCTTCAAAACTCATGGAGTCCCTGATATGCGGCGGTTTAAATGACTATCTACTGTCCTTAAATTTCTTCTCACCCCAACAGCATGGTTTCAGGAAGGGTTACTCTTGTATAACCAACCTGGTGACTGCGGTGGACAGATGGACAAGCATCCTCGATTGCAAGGGAAAGGTTGATGTCATTTACCTTGATTTCTCAAAAGCTTTTGATAAGGTTAACCACTTGTGTCTTATCACCCCTAATCGATTGGCTTACTTCATACCTAAAAAATCGACACTTTAAGGTTAGGGTTAATTTCACTTTATCTCAGGCTATGGAATGTCCTAGTGGGGTCCCCCCAGGGCTCAGTACTAGGGCCTCTCCTCTTCTTGATCTACATAAATGATCTTCCTCAACAGGTAACGTCAGACTTATTACTTTTTGCCGACGACGTGAAACTTTGGAGAGAGATACGCAACCAAGACGATACACAGGCACTTCAGGAGGATCTGACTCGACTTCAAAGTTGGGCAGACGATAACGGACTTACCTTTAACACTTCAAAGTGTAAAGTAGTCCATCTGCGACATGTCGCAAACTACAGTTACAACTTAGGAAACTCCTCTCTAGTAGTATCCCAAGTCGAAAAAGATTTAGGAGTCCTGGTGCCCCATGATTTAAAGTCTTACGCTAACTGTGACAAAAATGCCTTCCGAGCAAACCTTGCACTGGTAACGTTGAGGCGCATTTTTGGCCAGTTTGACGGAAGAACTTTCCACACAATCTTCAATAGTTTCATCCGTCCCCATTTAGAGTACGGAAACATAGTACTCCGCCCCTCACTCCAAAAGGACAAGGTCACTTTGGAGCGTATCCAACGGCGAGCCACGAAATCAGTTCGAGGACTCAAATCTAAGCCTTACGAAGAACGCCTCCGTTCACTAGACCTTTACCCATTAGAATATAGGCGTCTTAGAGGTGATTTATTAATGGCTTATAGTATTCTTAACACTTCTGGACATCCTCTTAAACACCTACTTAAGCTTAGTTCGAATAATAACCTAAGGGGTAACACCCAGAAACTGGAAACACAACATAGTGTAGGGCCAGTGAAATGTCACTGAGCCCTAGCCAAATCATCCGGCAGTTGGATCACTGAATGTCGAACAGATCATCGCTCCCTGCCAAAGTCATGTACAGACAACGCGCATTAGTTAATCATATGCCATGGACTGGCCCATGCGGCAGTGGTCTTACTTTCGCTTGTATCTACCTTAACTAATATAATTCTGTAATAACGTCCTCTGTGTTGTACGGTCTTCAAAGCATCTATGTTACCTTGATACGTCAATGGGGTAGTCCACGTAAGGTGCTGACCATGAGGTGTGACTTCGATGTTAGCTAGTTTGTCACACCATTCACGTCTAACTCGAGTAGGTCTGCAATCATTTTCGACATAGATCGTCTACGTTGGTGATCTACAATAGCAAGACGGAATGTAGACACAACTTCTACTCCTTAAGAGTTGTCAAAAGCTGGAATTCGCTGCCGGCCGAGCTAGTCCAAGCGACTTCTCAGGAGTCCTTCATGAAGCAACTTGACCTATTCTTAAGGACCAAGGACAGCATCACACTATGATTTACCAATTTCTTTTCCTCTTTTATTGTTAACATACCTATGTTCCTGCCTGGAGGATTTGGTGATCCCCTGCTACTAGATACGGAAGCCTGTTAAGCGAAAGCTTCTTCCATTCCGTCAACAACCATGTGAACCATTTGAACTGTTACCAGTTACAGAGAAAAATAAAAGCCATGCGAATGTGGAATTCAGTATGAGCTCTTCAGCCTCTTCATGCGGATGTTTTTATTTTATTGTCAGAAAATTAGAAATCCACCTGTCGAGCGTTTGAAGTTTGATGATCATATGTACCGAATACTTTGAGCGGGCTTTCAGTGCGTTTATTTTGACTTTCAACGTAACGTCGTACGGTCTGTTTTCTCAGGCTTCTCTACAGTTTAGTAGAAGGAGTTGGTGGACTTCTGCCTTCTCAAAACTACTTTTCAAATCCTTTGTGTTTGGACGTTCTCCAGATCACTGTTGTGTGGCTTCCTATCGTACAGGTTTTAAAATGGATGCTGTTGTGCTACCACAACCTAACGGAGACATTCTAAGCATTCCTGAAAATGGAATCTCAGGAGAGGCTGTAAAAAAGCGGTTGTCAGTTGAACGGATTTATCAGAAGAAAACCCAATTAGAACACATACTTCTACGGCCTGATTCTTATATCGGTTCCACATTGAAAGACACTCAGCAAATGTGGGTCTTGGATGAGAGTCAGCAACATATGGTCAATCGCGATATCACATTTTCTCCTGGTCTCTATAAGATTTTTGATGAAATCCTGGGTATGGGAATGTTGTTATTTTGATCTGTTTAGTAAATGCTGCCGACAACAAAGTTAGAGATCCTACCATGTCATGTATAAAAATCGACATTAATCCGTAAGTATATTTCTTTATAATTTTTCCCAAAGTGCTGAGAATATGATCCGCATCTGGAATGACGGCAAAGGAATCCCAGTTGTTCACCACAAAGTTGAAAATACCTACGTCCCTACTCTGATATTCGGCCACCTACTCACTTCAAGCAATTATGATGATACTGAACGGAAAGTGACAGGTGGAAGGAATGGTTATGGCGCCAAGTTATGCAATATCTTTAGCAAGAAGTTCATTGTAGAAACATCCTCTAAAGAATACAAAAAAAGTTTCCGGCAGGTATAAGTATGTATAACAAATTCATTTCTCCAGGTATGGGTCGAAAATATGACAAAGACAACTGACCCGAAAATTTTGGCGGATAAAGGAGATGACTTTACTTGCATTACATTCTATCCCGATCTTGCACGTTTCGGTATGAACGAGCTGGAACAAGACACGGTATCTCTTTTTACTCGTCGCGCATATGACATGGCTGCAACCTGTAATGGAGTTAAAGTTTTCCTTAATGGTAAAAGATTACCCATAAAGGGTTTTATGGACTACGTAAACCTTTTTATCAAACCCAACAAAGATGACGGAGACAGTGTTAAGGTAATTATGGAAATCCATATTAATATTTCGGGATTTTTTTTTGACATAACTGTAACCATAAATATCGTCATGTTCTCACCATATCGGTTTCATTTAAACTCCAAAATACCGACCAAGTCAGGTTGTTGCTGCATCATATCCAGATTCCCGAAATATTCCGTGTTCTCAAGCACATTCATTTAGGAACCAAGCATTACGGTCGCTAATGGTTAAAATGTAAAAATGAGTAAAAGATATAAACCAGTTGCTTAATCGATTCCCTGTTTTGAAAGTTTTTCACACAGCTTCAATCGTGGTTACTGATGTAAAGCTTTTGACTGAGTGGTTTTGTTCATCCATGGCATCCGTAACATCAAGTTGGTTAAAGTCATGTTATTGCCACCCTTAATTATTTAATGTTCGTATTTGATCGAAACCTAGGCAATATTCACCATTTTTGACTTATTATTTCGTTAATATTCTTATATTCGTGGTGGATGTGAGTCTGCGAATGCAACTTATTTCCATTAAGACAAATACTTCACTGTACTATCAGTTCATCTTTGGTTAGATTCTGTTGGTCCACTTTCCACAGATTACAAATTGTCAGTTTCCACTCAGAAGAAATATGACTGACCCAACATATCGATGACTTGTTCTTGTGGGTTCTATAGGTTTCTTACTCCTGAGGTCACCTATGTATTGAATCCATATATATTTCACCAATGTTGTAACCAAACAGACACTGACACCAACAATATGTTTACCATCTATCTTGTCTAACTAAACCTAACAAAAATGCTTTAGTAGACAACACATTCTATATTAACTGTATTTATATGGTGTTTATTGAAGTATATCAATTTCATCCCATCATAACCTTGAACTATTACTGTAGTGTAGGCTTCGTTATAATAATTCTTGTTTTATAACCTTATATATTCTGTCAAATTTATCAGTAATTCACGAATTTTTCTGGTTATTCTGCAAATAGGTTGTATATGAAGCAGTCAACCCGCGTTGGCAGGTAGCAGTAGCAGTTAGCAATACGGGCTTTCAGCAAGTCAGTTTTGTTAACAGTATTGCAACTACTAAAGGCGGAACACATATTAATTATGTGAGTGATCAAATTGTAAACAAGTTAATGGAAATCGTCAAAAAAAAATCCGGAAAATCTGGTGTCCAAATCAAACCTTTTCAAATAAAGAATCATATGTGGTTGTTTGTCAACTGTCTCATAGAAAACCCCACATTTGATTCCCAAACAAAGGAGAATATGACTCTGCAGACAAAAAGTTTCGGGTCTACGTGTACTCTAAGTGAGAAGTTTATTGGACAGGTGAAAAAAGTTTTTTCTATGCTTTTTGTATCTTGTCATGCTTTGTGTCCAAGTATTATTGTTTCAAACGTATTTAGTCTCACTTTTATTTATTGATTTACATAGTAGTCGTTTTAACTCTAAAACTTATCAGATTTTGGACAAGTGAATTTATTAAGCCTAATTTCAATTTCACGTCACGAAGTAGTCAGAAATGATGTATATGGTTTATTTATTTCAGGGTTACTCGTTCAATAGTGTTTCGTCTGGAGTACAGCGATTTCTATCGAAACCGATTTCTAGCAGCCTTAAGCAATTTAAAAAATGGTAAAACAATCGTGTTTAACAAAGCATTACATTTGTTATCTAAAAACACATGTTAGCATGAGTTTACTAAAATTGCTTACGCCTGTTACCCCTCGTGAAGGAGCATAGGTCACTCGCCAGCATTCTCCAACGAACTCGGTCCCGGGCAATCCTTTCCAGTTGGTATTCATCCTTTTGATATCTGCTTCCTATTCTCGATGCACCGTATTCATTCGTCTTCACTTGAGGACTCCAAGTTTGCCTCGTCATGCAGTTGGATAATTTCCACAATGTGTGTCCTATCCACCTCCATCATCATCTCCTAACGTTTTCTTCAGCTGGAGTCTGGTCAGTTCTCTCCAACAGTAGGCTGTTCATAATGGTATCCGGCCAAAGGACATTCAGTATCTTGCGTGAACAACTGCTTTTAAATACTTTTACATCTTGACGTTCGTATTGAAGATTCTGATTTTGATATTGGTTGACAGTTGTTTCGAGTTCCACATGTTCTTCAACTGTAGGAATGCTGCCCTTACTTTTCCAATCCTTGCCATTTAGTCTGCATCTGATCCTCCTCGTTCGTCGATGATGCTTCCCAAGTAGGTGACACTTTCCACATCTTCCAGAGCTTCTCCATCAAGTGAGATTGGGTTGGTGTTCTCCGTGTTGTATTTGAGGATGTTGCTTTTTCCCTTGTGTATGTTGAGGTCTACTGATGCAGAGACTGCTGCGGATACACTAGTTGTTTGCATGTGCATTTGTTCATGGGGATGGGATAGAAGAACTGGGTCATCTGTCAAGTCCGAATCGTCTAGTTGCATCCAACCTGTCCATTATGTCCCGTGCTTCCCTTCAAATGTGGAGGTCTTCATGACCCAGTCAAGCACCAGAAGAAAAAGAAAGGGGGAGAGTAAACAGCCTTGTCTGACTCCAATCTCCACTTGGAATGCGTCTGTCTGCTGCACTGCATGCACGACTTTGCAGCGTGGTCTATCGTATGAATTCCATATGATGTTGACGATTTTCTCAGACACACCTTAGTGACGAAGATGGTTCCGTAAGGTCATCCAATCCACACTATCAAATGCTTTCGCATGATTAAGGAAGTTGATGTATAGTGACGAGTTCCATTCAATCGATTGTGGAACGATTATCTGTAGCGTCGCGATTTGGTCTGTGCACGACCGATCATTACGAAATCCGGCCTGTTGATCTGAAAGCTAAACGTCTACTGATTATAATTTATGCGGTTCAGCAATACTCTGTTGAAAAAATTTTCTGGTACTGATAGTGCTTTCATTTTTGCATAGTTCTCACATTCACTTTGATCTTTCTTTGGTATCTTGATTAAATATTCTTACCAGTCTGGTGGCACTTGTTCTTACTTCCAAATCTTCCTGAATAGAACGTGGAGCATGTCTGCATTTTTTGCTATGTCTGCCCTTAGTGCTTCGGCTGGTATATTGTCAGGCCCTGCTGATTTCCCACTCTTGATTTGTTTGATGGCCATCCAGAAGGTCTGTAGGTGCCACCCCGATGTCCGGTGGGTTTAGTCAATCTGGTCTATTTAAGAGTTCCTCGAAGTATTCTACCCTTCTGTTCTTGAATCTCGGAGATCGCCTTTTTTGTCCTTAACCTGTCTCTCTGGTTTAATATATTTTCCTGCTAGTTTATTCGTTGTATCATATAGCTGTCTCATATTTCTTTCTGTTGCAGCTTTTTCCTCTTTCGTTTCTAGGTTTTCCACATATTTCTGCCTGTCGGCTTTAATACTCTTCTTCACTTGCTTGTTTGCTTCTGTGTATTCTCTGTTCTTGTTCGGTTGTTGTTAATTAATATCTTTTCCTTCCTTCCTTGAATCGTGTCTAGAGTTTTCATAGAGATTCACTACTTATTCTTCTTCCGATCCAGCACCTCCTGACACGTTGAAGTTAGTGCTTCTTTGACTCCTTTCCAATTGTCCTCCATAGCAGTTTCTTCTCTGAGTAGGTCTTTAATGCTTGTAACCTGTTGTTGAGAGTTATCTTGAGTTTTTCAGTATTTCGAGGAAAAGCTGTATTGAACCTATACAATGTTGTTTTTCCAGTTGTGCACTGTTTATTTAGCTCTAGTTTCATCTTGGCAATAACCAGGTGTCAATCTGAATCTGTCAGTTCCTCTCCTGGTTCTCATGTCTCATTGTCCTGAATTTTTTACTGATGCAAATATGATCTATTCAGCTTTCTGTAGTGTGATTCGGTGAGATTTCTTTTAATAATGATTGTGTAAAGAAATGGAGTTGCAATCTTAGTTATTGATAGTCAGTTCACCACTAATAAGTAATGCTACATTTTAACTATTTTTAGATTGTTAGTATCAGCGTTTTTCTTGGCCTTGGAAGCATTTTTCTTATAACAAAAGTGTGAATAATTTGAGTACTTGAGGGTCTTGGACTCTTTAAAATGTGTTGGTATGTTTACTGTTGAGATTTTGTAACATTGGTTAGTTTACTAGTTACGTATCATCTTTGTGTTAACAAATTGTAATTTCTATTTTTCATACATTTACGTTCATATGTTTTAGGCCTCAAAATCGGGTATAGTTGAAAATGTACTGTCTTGGATTCGTTTTAAAGCAATGGAAAAAATGGACAAGCAATGTCACAAATCCAAACATTCTAAGCTCAAAGGAATACCTAAATTAGATGATGCAAATAATGCAGGGACTAAAAATTCTTCTCAATGTACTCTTATTTTAACAGAGGGTGACTCAGCCAAAACTTTAGCTGTGGCTGGTCTTGGAGTTGTCGGTAGAGACAATTATGGTGTCTTTCCATTGAGAGGCAAACTACTGAATGTTCGTGAAGCATCTAACAAACAAATTATGGAAAATGCAGAAATAAACGCACTGATTAAAATTCTTGGACTCCAATACAAACTGAAGTATGAGTCGGCGGATACGCTGAAAGATTTACGCTACGGCAAGTAAGTCTGACATTCCTTACTATTTGGAACTTTCAGGCTATATATATATATATATATATATATATATATGGGTGGTTAGTGGTTAGTTTTCACCTATGTGATCTTATTTGTTTTTTCATTTACAGGATTATGATTATGACTGATCAGGATCAGGATGGTTCTCATATTAAGGGTTTAATAATAAATTTTGTTCATTGTAACTGGCCAAATTTACTAAAGCATAACGTAGTAGAGGAATTCATTACTCCAATTGTAAAAGTGTTTAAAGGGAAACAAGAATATTCTTTCTACAGCTTACCAGAATTTGAGGAGTGGCAAAAATCAACTCCAAACTGGCATACTTGGCGTGTAAAATACTACAAAGGTACGTCTCGTTTCAATTGTTTGTTATATTTCCTTTTACTCATGAGCACGAAACGTTCACTAAGAGTCTTACATTTTAACTTCTAGTCAACTCTACGTTGCATTATTTCCCCTCATATTAGGTTTGGGTACTTCAACAAGCAAGGAAGCTAAGGAATACTTTTCTGACATGAATCGTCATCGGATTCGATTTCGCTACAGTGGGATTGAAGATGATGGGAGCATTCAATTGGCTTTCGACAAAAGTAAGATAGCTGATCGTAAAAACTGGTTGACCAACTTTACACAAGAACGTAAACGTCGACGTGAATTAGGTCTCCCGGAGCCTTACTTGTATGGGAAAGATACTCGAGCAATAACTTATCATGATTTTGTTCACAAAGAGCTAGTGTTGTTTTCGAATTTGGACAACGAACGGAGTATTCCATCTGTTGTAGACGGGCTGAAACCTGGACAAAGAAAGGTTAGCATCTCAGAAATTTTACAAATTTATAACCAATGTTCCTCAGGTGTATCAAGTTACAACTATAGGCTTACTCATAATTCTCACAAATCCAATATTTTTGTTGTTGCTTTTGTTCACTTCACCAGAAAAATACAGTATGTCTACGTTTTGGTATTACTGTATGCTGTGAACATTGATCGACGTTACAGTTAGGTTTATAAATTAATTCTCGGACAGTTATTAGGTATAAAATCTTGAGTTCTTATTATTTTTAAAAAGTGTTTATTACTATTCAAAATTATATCAGCTTTAACACACGGACGCTCTTTAAATGAACGTTCTCATTCTCAATATCGTTATTTACAGTTATATTCTAATGTTGGTGTTTTTACTAAGCTACGGTATCACCTACAGTATTCTATCTCTTGTGAGAAAATCTCGTCAATAATCATTAATAGATATTTAAGAATTAAGAATAGTAGTAGACAACATACAAATCCAAAACACATTTTGTTTGACAATAAACCTCACAAACAAGTTTTATATATACTTTTCTGATTTTAAGACTTTTAACTAACGAACACTTTTATCCTCTTAAATTTTGACTTTATGTTTCCTTTTTTTTCTAGGTACTGTTCACCTGTTTAAAAAGAAATCTTATTAGAGAAATTAAAGTTGCTCAGCTCGCTGGTTCTGTTGCTGAACTGTCGGCTTATCATCATGGTGAACAATCCCTGATGAGCACTATTATTGGTTTAGCTCAAAACTTTGTTGGTATGTTTTATTTATTTTCGAGTACTTCAAAACAGTATTCTCCGTATATATAGGGCTACTTGATGAAATCCCGCCTCATCTACTTAAGTTTGGGAAAACTAGTAGTTTATTTTGAATCCAGGCTCCCAAATATATATTTGATCACAGTTAAACGGTTTATGTTTCGAAGTTTGTTAGGCATTGATTGCTTATGCTAAACAGGTTTTGTCCCTTCATGTTTGATCTCTAATATTGTTTTGAATTTCTTCTGAATATTGCTTCAGAAAAAAATCCCACAAAACTTATATGTCTTTAAAACTGGTCGATAGCTTCGTCTTGAAGCCATCGTTCATTCACTGCTGAATACTAACTACTAAACCGGAGAGTCACTTAGTTACTTTCCTTTCATAGTAATACTTAAGAGTGAAAAAACTGGATGGAATACCAAAATATTACTAAAGCATCTAATTACTACGGGGAGGAAAACCCGCTGAGTCATTAAAATGAATGGTGTCTCGGCGAAGAAAACGTCCTTTTTCGACGATATCATTTTCGTAAGCTTGTACAATCGTGTTTATATTTAATTTTACACATAGTCTACAATAGAATAGATCAGTGTTACATCATTAAAACAAAATTATAATAGTTAGACGTTGTTAGGTATCAGGTATAAGTCTACAGAAAATGGAATGGTTTTGGATCATAAAGTAATCAAAATTTTCGAGACTTCAACTATTGAGTATGACAATACACAGAAGGGTATTGTTTCATTTAATAAAATAACCAAAGTCCTTAAAAGCTTTCATGTATTCAACGAATAGAAGTACTCCACTTCGTAACAAAGTAATCAAATATTACCAAAGGATTAAACTATCTAATAGTTTTAGAGATAATTAATAACTTATTGAAGAAATATAGACGACAACTGTTTACTTTACGATGGTGATAAGATAATAATTAAAAAATGATAAAAGCATGGAAGAATAAGGGATCAAACATTAATCTTGTACAGAGAGATCAGTTTTGAACTATTATATCTTATCTGCAAAGTGTGCCTCTGTAACTGGTTGTCTCGCGTGAATATCTGGCAGTTAAAAGTAGCTCTGTTTGATAAATTTATAAACATAATTCTGGTTCATATCGGAAATTTGCATCAAATTTAAATGATCTTCACAAACCACTCAGTCAGTAATTTTCTCTCCAGCTACTGACCTAGAAATACAGATTCCCGAAGTTCTGGTGGCAAGTTATGACTGGTAGAGATCAGTCATATCAGTAATATAAAGGTCTTTGCTCTCCGCGAGTTCGTTTCCTAGTGTATAGTTTATTTACACAGATAGTTGTGTTGAGTTTGAAAATATCACATGAATTTTATTCTTGGTCGTGTAAGAAGCTGTTCTTAAAATGTTTTATTATGAATAATTATTTATCCTTAGGATCAAATAATTTAAATTTGCTTCAACCAATTGGTCAGTTTGGTACGCGACTTAGTGGAGGCAAAGATGCTGCATCTCCTCGTTATATATTCACTGCATTGAACTCACTTACACGACTTATTTTCCATTTGGAGGATGATCCTCTGTTAAATTATCTATACGATGATAATCAACGTATTGAACCAGAATGGTATGCTCCAATAATTCCTATGGTCCTTGTCAATGGAGCAGATGGTATCGGAACTGGCTATGCAACACATATTCTCAACTATAATGTTATAGAGATAATAAACAACCTTTATCGTATGTTAGATGGTGAAGAACCGCATCGTATGTTGCCGAACTTCCGTGGCTTTACTGGTACCATTGAGGTAAGAAAAAGGTGCTCTGGACATTATTATTGTTAATGTCGTTTGTTAGATGATGTGCTCCACTGTCATGCTGTACTTATCACTATTTACATATCAATAAATAAATTTATTTTTAGGATTTGGGTAATAATCGTTATGTTTGCTATGGAGAAGTTGCTGTTCTAGATGATGATACTTTGGAGATTACTGAACTTCCTATCCGAGTCTGGACACAGAATTACAAAGAATCGGTTTTAGAACCTATGTTGAATGGTTCAGAAAAGGTCCCTGCTTGTATCACGTAAGTAAATATTCCTTTCAACCTTCATATCTAAAATTTCCTAACTTTTAAGAAAATGCGTATAACTTTTATTTTGTTCATTCTAGAGATTACAAAGAATATCATACAGATGTCACTGTGCGGTTCGTTGTTAAGATGTCTCCTGAAAAATTGCGGGAAGCCGAATCTACTGGACTTCATAAATTCTTCAAACTTCAAACAGTCATGAGTACCGGTTCGATGGTTTGCTTCGATCCTTTAGGTTGTTTAAAGTGTTATCCCAACGAGATGGTTATTATCCGCGAATTCTACGAATTACGTCTTACATGGTAAGTCTAATTAGTGTTTGTAACTGACGTAATTGTCAACTAAGATTTCCCACAATTTTCAGCCATTTATACACATCGTAAGGTACAAACGCCGTTAAGGGATTTAGTATTAAGTCCCATAGTAATCTAGTGTCTGTCATAATAACCCGTTTGAGCTACACTAGCTTCTCATACTCGTTCCTTCAGATCCTATCAACCCAGCGGGGTCAGTCGAAGAGAATTGAAACGAGGAGCAGCAAATATAAAGCTTGAAGACAAAATCTTATTACCAACTGTACTGATAATAGTTGGATGTTTCCTTTGGGTAACCAGGTTCTCCAATGATATTACATTCACACAACAAATTGGGGTGTGTGGAAAGGTCGACCTTAAGAATAATACATTACCTTGCTGCAAAAACTTCCGGTGCCGGTGATGAGAACCTGTAAAGCTTTATACGTTAAAAGCTTTTCACAAGAAGGCAGTCCTTGACTGACACCTAACAACTGTCTCTTGGGATCTGCGAGCACGCTCTCAACTTGTTAAGACCATTGTTAACTCCTCCGGAATAATATTCAAAATTTATAAGAAGTGGAGTATGAAGTGAATCTGTTTCATTTTTGTCGATTCTAAATTTTGTCATCAATAATCTTAAATCACTGGTTTTGACTTTTTCAAACCTCATCCAGACCATTTGGAACTCCTGTATCATGTTTTTGTTTGATCATTCTTGGAATTATTCTACTTGTCCCTGAATTCAGTCAGCATTTAATTTCATGGAAGGTGGCAAAGAAGCCTGTGTAGCATTATTCCAGTCACTAGTTGTTAGATGTTTGTGCTATAACTATTTAGTTAGAACAAGTTACTGACTTTAATTAATGATCAGAATGTTCATGCTATTTCTGTTCCTTTTAAAGTTGTCTCTTTCACGATAACTATTACGTCTCGATAATTTAGTGTATATATTTTTAAATGCTAACTGTTATAACTTGTGGCCTGTGTGCCCTGTTAATGTGTAACGTGATGATACCGCCAATTAGAGAGCAGTGAATTATCGATCGGACCAATGACGCATAAAAACCAGTACGAGCAGTCTAGAATCCTTATCGGTCCTTATTCCCGCTTAGCCCAACCAATTATTTCCAGAACACCAATCTCAGCCTCTGCGGTATGAATCATTTATTTGAAACATAATGGATTTATATACCAACCAGGCAAACTACATCGTACCATAGAATAGGAAACAACATTTGTACAAAATTTAGACAAATGTGGCTGTTAATAAGGGAGATAGTAATCGATTTATAGGGTTTGACTCAAGAATGGTAAATCGTATAATAATAGTTCATAGGCTAAAATAAAGCTCATAATAAGAAGGACATGATTATGAATAGTTTAGTTATTTAACAATTATACGATAAAAATATGCGTATAGTATTAGTTCAGAAATGGATTCCAAAAATTACCATTCATTATTCTTATCGGTATATAACACTACCATGAACGAGAAACGTAGGTGACTTCCTCTTTTTTCACCCAATCACAGCTAACCTAAATTTAAAAGGCAATGATTGCTTAAAATCTATTAGATCTAATGGGATAACCAGTTATGTCACAAAACAGGCAAACCAACTTAAAAACACCATTAAAAGCTTTGAAAGTGAGAAACAAATGAGGTTGAGGAATTTGGCGATTAGTGTGGAATTGAAACTTAAATCATACATATTATGAAGGTGTAGGCGCTCTGATTTATTTCTTTTTTTGGGGTGGGGGTGGAAGTAAACAAATTTAATACATTAATTTACTTACCAATCCAACAGTTACTAGCCGTTGCTTGAACTTCTGTGTTTTGTCAACTGATTTTTTTCGTTGCCTGTGAACACAATGTACATCTATGTAACTATTTACAAATTCTTTAAAACAAGTTTGATTACATTTTCTATATACAGTACTTATAGAAGTAAAATGATTGATATCGATTATATAGGTATGAAAAACGGAAGGTCTACTTAGAAGGTGTATTGTCTGCAGAGGCTCGGAAACTAGAAAATCAAGCCAGGTTCGTCCTTGAGAAAATTCAGTCTATTATGGTGATCGAAAATAAACCAAAGAAAGAATTGATTCGTATGCTTAAGGAAGCCAATTATGATTCAGATCCTGTTAAGGCATGGAAAGAAAGCATAGACAAAGCAGCTGCTGTGCAGGAACAGGAAGAATCTCGTACAAATGAAGGTGCCCCTCAAACTGAAGCGGTTGAAGCAGGTCAACCTGACTACAATTATATTTTAAATATGCCTTTATGGAGTTTGACAAAAGAGCGTAAGGATGACTTACTTGCTCAAAGAGATGCTAAGCAAAAAGAATTACTCATTCTAAAAAGTAAATCTCCTTCCGATTTGTGGCGTGAAGATCTTAAGAAATTAGAGGAGGAGTATAAGGTATTTTCTTATTTGATCATTTTGTAGTTTTAGTAAACTATATATATATATATATATATATATATATATATATGAACCCGAAGATCCCTGGTACGGCCGATAGTAGGGAGAGTTCACTGTCCTTTTTTAAATACTCTCACATGGCCACACGTATACACTCACAGCCAGGGAAGTCCTACCCACTGCCTTCTCACAGCGGGGTTGTTGTTTACGAGATTGAATGAACGAAAAGACGTATGCCCGGATTGGTGGATATTGTGCATCTATCTGGGGGGATTTGAAAAGCCTGATTCTAAACTAATGATGTACATAGACTCCAGTATCCTGAGGGAACAAATGGTGTGTGAATCAATTATTGTTCACCGGCTACCATGAGACTGCATCTCGTAACGTTGCTTGACTGTCTTGTGAATTAGACGTCTAGGCCGAAGGCTCCGGGTGTGGCCCCTTAAGAAAACCACCTGCTTCGGTCTGAGTACCCAGGCAGTATCATATCTCACACACAAATCAAGTGACTTGTGTGACACATGTATTCAGTGCCCCTTTGTACCAATATTTATGTGTTCAAATAATAATAATAATACTTCATGAGCCTGCATCTTTTAATAACAAAATGATATCTCTTTACATATGATTTTTGTTCAGAAAGTAGAAGCGGAGTTGGCCGCTGATGAACAGGCTGCAATTGAAGCAGTTGAAAAAAAATTAAAAATAGCATCGACTACGACAGCTGGTCGTGTTGCTGCTACAAAATCACGTAAATTAGCAATGGAAACAAGACCAGATCCAATGGGTAGACGAATTGTTCCGACAGTAGATGCTGATATGATGAAAAAGGTGGAGGGAAATAAGAAGAAACGAAATAAAACAGAAAACGATCTAAATGAAGGTTTGTTTTTTTGTATTATGCTTTTGCTGTTAGTGAGAAGAAATCAATTATAAGTTACAAATAGGTCTTCCATTGTATGTTAATTTTGTTTATTTCATAGATGTATACGAATTGCACAGTTGATATATTTTGCAGTTTCATTCATTAAAACAAAGCGTTTTCACTGAAAATAATTTTCTTTAAAATGGATACTCATTTTGACTACTGAAACATCATCGTTATGTGTCGCTTAGTGTTTGTGAGCGAAATTGTTGCCATATACCATATGTTTTTAATTTGATTTTCTCCTACTCTTCTTCAACTGTTGGTTTGAAACATTTTCTTAATTTTGTTTCGAATTCTTAGCATATATTTGCTCCCACTCGTCTCAATTTCCTTTTTCTTTCTATAAGGTAACGAGTTGGATAATAGTTTCGAAGCGAATGATGAAGAAAACAATGGAAATGATGAACCTAAACCGCTTGCTCAGCGTCTTGGTGCTTCTGAAAAAACAGATGTACAGAAGACAGCTACTACACGTGGACGTGGTAAAGGAAGAACTGTCCCAACAAGTCGTCCAAAGCTTCTGAAACCATCTAGTCCAAGTGAGTATTCTTCGGGTGAATACTGATCATTAATATATGAAAGCATGTAATAGTCATTTTTTACTATTATGGTTGAAGGTTACAGGATGGTGGACAAACAAATTTATATGCGTTTGCTAATTCCCTCTTATTGGTTTTTTAATATTTTTCAACGGTCTTATTTAATATAAATAATTATACCTATGAACTGCGATTGCTGAAAATAAACAAGTTGGTACATTTTTCTTTTAGATATTAGTCCTATTAAACGTAGAAATGTGGGTGGAAATGCCAAGCGTAAACGGTCTAGTCGTATGCCATGGGAGTCTGGCTCTGACACCGGAGACTCAGAAAGTCAAGTCTCTATTGATAGTGATAATGATTATATTTCCCCAATTTCCGGTTAGTGTTCTTTATCTTTCCAAGCTGTATATTAATCTGATTTTCGATGGTTTGTTGGTTGTTATTATTTACTTTGTTAAATGTAAATTATAGTTTTTGATAAGGGGTTCCCTGAACTGAATGATTTAGTTGCGAAGCTTCATTTGTCATTCTAGATAGCAACATTGTCACTGTTCACTTCCATAAATCTAAGCACACCATGTCAACTTTATATAACAAGTTAATAAAGCGTATCTTTTTCACTGTATTCACATCTGTTCAACTTTAATCACTGTCTACTATTCTATTACATTTATTATTAATATCCATAAACCTACATTAGCCAGTTTTTTCGTCAAAAATAATATTTTGAAAGGTTTTATTTATGGATTTACAAATTTTTAGGCATTAATAATTTAGTTCGATGGAATATAGGTTGGGGAGCTTGGATTTACTGTCAAGTTTCGCTATAATATTTATTGTATCAGTTGGTCGAAAGTAGATTACATTCTCTATCATAGTATAATTACTAAATTATCTCAAAATTGTAAATATTATGATGTGAAACTTTCTTTTGACAACTAACTCGTGGTATGAAGTACTAGTAAATAATATATGGAGCCATATTCATTAATTTTCACCCCATTTTCAACTCTGTCATATTTTCTTCTGTTTCCTGGCCGACCACTTTTGATCGAGTCAGAGTTTGTGGAATTGGTTACTCTAAATGATGTTCGTCAGGGTTGTCTGCTTTCTTCATTTTTATATAGATTTATCCTAGTCATGGTTTTATAGATAACTCTCTCATCGTCTGACTTTCCAGGAGTTTATTTTCTACCATGAGATTCACTTGTTGACTTAAAACACGGAGTTGATATAATTCTGTTTGGTGAAGACGCTAACAAAATACAGTCTTCCGACCAACTTAAGCAAGAATACAAGCATGTTTGGGATGCGGTTCTCTCCCTCCAAATGTAAAATTTTACTTCGGGATTGGCTTGTGTCACCGCCTGAATTAATGATAGGCAGTGAAGTAGTTGAACGCATCGACTGCTTCACTTATCAGTCCTAATGGTCTGGTGTCTGACGAAATCCCAGCACGCATTTAGAAGGCTCGATTGGCATTTGCCAACTCGCATCACTAATGACGTATGTGGGATATTCGTCTTCCAACTAAAAGGTGAGTTTATTGTGCGGCAGTTCTCTCCGTTCTACTTTATGCATTTCAAACATGAGCATTGTAAGAGTATAGGATGTTTGTTAGTTACTGGTCTTCGATTATAGGTATCTAAGAAGCATTGCTTGTGAATTTTGGAACCACGGAGTAAGCAGTGCGTGGGCTAGAAATGGGGTTCTAGATGTTAACAGGAAATAGATTGATGAGGTGGTAAATCTTTGTCAACTGAGGCAGTTCGGACATGTCTTACGTACACGCAACTGCCACCATGAAGTCACTGACAGTTGGACTTAGCCATGTTAGTAGGTACGAAATACCTGTTTGGGGTCCTCGTGATTATCTTAACCACTGGTTAAAGACGTTGAATGACACGGCTCAAAATCGTTTGCAATGACTCATGTGCATCCATTCTTTGTCTTCCAAATTTTAGATTTCTCCAAACTATTTTTTGTTTTTATTTCTCTAATTTATATTTTCTTTTCGAGTCGTATCTTCGATGCCTGATCTTTCTTATTACCACTAATACTGTTTCTACCTCTATTATCCTAGGGTTTGGCCTGACAACTTCATCTCTCTGTACTAATGTAATGTGGCAACTTGAGCCGATGTACATGTGTACAGTTTCTACATTGTGACTGATTGATACTTTCTCTTGTTTAAGCAACAGGATAGATGTTGCTCAGAACGTAGTGAATATCCACTAGCTTATTTTATAGATTTTCTTGTAATCTCAATTACACCCTGCTAATTCTCAATGCGTTGGCATGCGAGTTTGTAGCATTTCTGGACAATTTACGAAATAATGATATGCATCAATGACTGCAAATCGACACAATCAACCATACATTTATCCGAGTCATTGATACTAAAAGATACTAAAAGTCGTCTTCTGATGAAAGTTCATTATTTCGAACTAACTAGATCGTAATAAATAATTAGTTTGTTACGCCAAACATTCGCTTCATTTTCATAACTTAAATTACTATTTGAGGCGTGTTAATTTGAATGGTTACTGAGCTGACCTCAATATTTTGAACACAATGTACTATGGAGCATTTTATAATTTGTATCAAAGTACTAAATTTCTGAAGTTCGAGACCTGTCATTTCCTTTCAATGGTACATACTTATATATTTGCTCTTAGTTGTTGCTTGCTATTCGATCACAAGGCAAAAGTTGTAATTTATATGTAAGTTCATTATAATGTCTGTATATTTATGCAAGTTGTGATTTACACTTATTTCTTCACTGTTAAAGCTTATGTACTGTAGTCAACGTACATTATTAATAATTATTTTTGTTACTATTTAACATCATTCGTGTTTAACTACTTCACTCTTCAATCATGTAGGTGGACCTGCTGTCGATCGTGTACGACGTGAAAAAGCTGCAGCAACAAAATATGTTTTCGATAACGACAGTAGTAGTAATGAAGAAGATAATGAACAGGAGGAGAATTTTCAAGTTGTTGATCATGGACAAGGAAATAAAGAGATTGATATACCGATTGTCTCAGAAATTCCAGACACTAAGTCATCATCAATCCCATCAAGTAGCCATGGTGGTGGTGCATCTATAAAGGCTGAGTGAGTAATCACTTTCATGTCTTCTATGCATTTCGTCTTCATGTGTTACTTTTTGCTAAAACTCTAACCCACTATTCCTTTTGTTACTTGTCTTATGGTTATTCATATATATATATATATATATATATATATATATATATATATATATATATATATATATATGATGTTGTAGTTTGTGACACTCATTCGTGTTTCACTAATCTTGTTCGGTACAGGTTAAAATCCCTGCCGCCGAAAATCACAACTCGGGGTAATCGTCTATCTTATATAATGTATATCTCATTATTTATAAGAATTTCATCATCAGTAACTAGAAAAATGCAAATCATAAATATTATAGGAACTGAATAAGGAAATTACATTGTAAATGAAGAACTAGATTTTTTTAAACTATAAGACTTAACTATCTCCTAAATGATTCAGATATTCGCTTTCTGTTTGTATATATGTATACATATGCTCCATAACTTCTGAGGATATTACTCATCTAGTCTTTCCCCTTATTTTCTGTTTTGAATATTAGTTCTGGGTCAACATCTCGTGGTGCTCCTGGTATTGCATCAGGTCGTGGACGTGGTCGTGGTGGCAAAGGACGGCAGTTTTCAGCTCCACCTAAATCACAACCTAGTATCAAATCAATGTTTCCTCCTACTCAGAAGAAAACCACAATAAATATTTCAACAGACGATGATTCTAATGATGCCGCAAGTAGTTAGTATATTTCATTAATCATTATTAGCATTGTAGATAACAGTTCTGTGTTTCGTATGTTATATTCACTTGTCTGTTATTTTTCATTCACTGCTACATTTAGATCGTAATACTAGCCAGTCAAACAAGTATCAAAACGTTAACCTAGTGACTATCATATATAGGGTAACCTTACAGTAGGTTTAATTCATCAAAATCCATTAATCTAAATTTTTAACCGTCTGACTCTAAAATTATCTTCTTGAAATCATAATGTTCATCACAATTTATCGAATTTCATAATAGGATGTGTTTTGGTAAGTCTGAGTAGTGGACGCTCTGTTATGAAACTCGCTTTTTTAAATACTTTCCAAATGTAGGCTGTCACAGCAACTCAGCCTTGGTATGGCTAAGGGTGGGGAGAGTCTACTGTTGCTCTTTAAATACTCTCACATGACCACACATATACAACCACTAACAGGGAAGTCCTTCTCACAGCGGGGGTGTTGTTTACGAGATTGAAAGAACGAAAATCGAATGTCCGGCGCTTTAACCGGATTGGTGGATATTGTGCATCTATCTGGGGGGATTGGAAAAGCCTGATTCTAAACTAATGATGTACATAGGCTCCAGTATCCTGAGGGAACAAATGGTGTGTGAATCAATTATTGTTCACCGGCTACCATGAGACTGCATCTCGTAACGTTGCTTGACTGTCTTGTGAATTAGACGTCTAGGCCGAAGGCTCCGGGTGTGGCCCCTTAAGAAAACCACCTGCTTCAGTCTGGGCGCCTAACCATTATTCCAGCCCTCATAAATTGAATGACGAAGTGTGGCGCATATCTATTTGGTGCCCCCTTATATCAATGTTTATGTGTTTAAATAAACTAAAATAAAACAAATATATTTCTCTGAGTAATCGTGCAGATAATCTTTCATTATGACGACTCGATCCTCCTGAATTAGTGTTTTTACAGTTTTACTTGTAGTCTAGATCATAGTAGTACATCATAATAGATACAAGCTGTTGATAATTCAACTTTTAGTGAAAATAATAGTAATTTTATTTTCGACTTTTTATTGTTTTGTGTAGTATCATAAAAAGAAAATAACTGTAAAAATTGCATGAATTTGATGGTCTTTTTATGATTTATTTATTCTCAAATCAGTAACTACTTCTCAAAAAGAGCCTAGGGTAAATTCTCGACGTACTGCAACAAATCGTGCCCGATACGTATTTGATGATGAAGATGACGATCTAGATATTGATTCAGATGACAATGGTGCCAAAAAACAATCCAAAGGTGGTTCACGTAAACGTCAGAAAAACGATGACGATAGCGATTTTGAACCCGAAAAGGTTAAGAAGGGCAAGTAAGTAAGATTGGTCAGACTAATAGTTTCCGTTGATAATAATAATAATAATAATCTGTTCAAAGAAATTTCAAGTATTCACAGATCGGTTTTCTCATATATCTGAAATCCATAATTAAGGACGATCAACAGCATTCACTGAAATCCAAAACTTTAAAATTGACACAAACATATTTTCATTTTCTATCATATAAACGATTAGTGTAATTTATTTTTTCATTATGTACACCTAATATACACACATTAACACTGTTTTTCTAAACTTATTTATTTTAAATTGATGTGAATTAGCGAACAATAGTGTTTAACTTCTACATCTTGAGATAATAAATTTATCTTTGCAGAAATTAATGGATTTGGAAAAATTACTGATGTTACTTATAAAGGCCAGTATGTTTTCATCTTTCTCTTCAATCTAAGATCTATCAGTAAACATTTGTTTCTCATTGTTTAAGTCACGGACTAGTCTTAGTTAGACCATCGTTGAAAATCAGGGAAGCACTGAGTAGCTGTTTCATCCTAGTATGGGATTCCTCAACAATGAGCATCTACAAACCCCCTTCAGAGAATTGAACGCAGGACCTTCGGTCACATGCATGAACGTTTGATCTATGAAAAGTCAACGATCTATATAAATCCCTAACAGTAACACTAACTTTATCCTCACAAGATAGAATTGCTGAATTATTAGTGAAATGCCTTGACCAGTGGAGCTAAACCACGTTGGCTGTCAGACTGTTGTCTTCCCCAGACAATTTATAAGGGTTTTTCAGTATCGTAAATTGATTTAGGTTAGGCGTATGCACCGCTGGATGCTGAGTGCTCGGATTCAAGATCGAAGATCCTGAGTTCTATTGATTGTAGTGGGATCGTGAATGCTGGGAGGTTTTGCATTAAAACTAAACATCTGTATAATGCTTCCAACTTTCCAATTGTAGTCTATCTAAGATCAGTACGTGACTAAAACTATGAAGATCCTACAATTTTTAAAAATCCCCTGTACAAATATTTGTTTATTAATAGGTAAAATCACCGTCTAGAAGTGTGTGTTTCATTCTTCCTGCGCTGATCTTAGCTATAGATTATTTTTCTAGCGGATTTTGTGTATTATTTATGATATTGAATACTGTTCATTTTTGTTTTCATTTTGGTCCTCATGTTTTAGGTCAAGGAAGGGAGCTCTAGATGACTCAGATTTCGAATTCTCCGACTAGACACTTGTACAGAAATCCTTTTTTGTTTGAACCATTTTTTTGTTAAACCACTGTTATTTCTCTTTTATAAGGTTGCATTGTATTTGTTACATATTCCTCCCCGTTATTTCTATTGGACATTTTCGGCCTAGAAATTTATCACATATACTCATATACATATATGTTTCTATAATGTCCCTTACCATATTGTATTAAAGTTCATTTTGGTATATACTAATAACTGTTACAGAAATGGATATACTACTTATGACAAAATGTTAACAGTTTAGTATGTTACTTGTTTTTGTGGTTTATATTCTACGTTATTTCTCTTATTGCATTTTTCATAATTATATTAAAACATTTTCTGTTTTTTTACTGCACTAAATAGTTTAAAAAAATAGTTTTTTGTTAAATAGGTCCCAGTTTGGGTTTTTGTCGATATTTCTAAGTGTACCTTGTTATGTTAAAAAAAATTTTATTCTCATTATTTTATGTGCAGCATACAATAATAATGAATCGTTTCGTTGTGCGGTAATATCTTCATACTAAACAATTTCCACTAATTGAAATCTAATAGTTTCATGAATCTAAGTTTAGTAGCTTGAATTTGTCATTTTTTCACACTAGTTATAGATTCCTATTTTTAGAGTCGTTTGCTATAGCAGTCCAACTACACTATTAAGTGATACGTAAAATCCATAGAATAAAAAGACAGTATGATTATGATATAATTATATTAAATATATTACAATACTCAACTTGCGAGGTCTTCGCGATAAAAGATGTCACCTGTAATTTGAGTAGTGTATTTCTTAAATTAGATGACTAAAGATATTTACAAAATTGTTCGTTAAGCTGATTAGCGCCTTTCAAGCTAATATGATTACGCGAAGCGAAAAATCGTGGACAGGACTAATTACTGGAAATTTATTCGGCACTATGGTGTGTCTGAGAAAATCGTCAACATCATATGGAATTCATACGATAGACCACACTGCAAAGTCGTGCATGCAGTGCAGCAGACAGACGCATTCCAAGTGGAGATTGGAGTCAGACAAGGCTGTTTACTCTCCCCCTTTCTTTTTCTTCTGGTGCTTGACTGGGTCATGAAGACCTCCACATTTGAAGGGAAGCACGGGACATAATGGACAGGTTGGATGCAACTAGACGATTCGGACTTGACAGATGACCCAGTTCTTCTATCCCATCCCCATGAACAAATGCACATGCAAACAACTAGTGTATCCGCAGCAGTCTCTGCATCAGTAGACCTCAACATACACAAGGGAAAAAGCAACATCCTCAAATACAACACGGAGAACACCAACCCAATCTCACTTGATGGAGAAGCTCTGGAAGATGTGGAAAGTGTCACCTACTTGGGAAGCATCATCGACGAACGAGGAGGATCAGATGCAGACTAAATGGCAAGGATTGGAAAAGTAAGGGCAGCATTCCTACAGTTGAAGAACATGTGGAACTCGAAACAACTGTCAACCAATATCAAAATCAGAATCTTCAATACGAACGTCAAGATGTAAAAGTATTTAAAAGCAGTTGTTCACGCAAGATACTGAATGTCCTTTGGCCGGATACCATTATGAACAGCCTACTGTTGGAGAGAACTGACCAGACTCCAGCTGAAGAAAACGTTAGGAGATGATGATGGAGGTGGATAGGACACACATTGTGGAAATCATCCAACTGCATCACAGACCACGCCAAAGAGCATTTCGACGTAATTGGGAAGCAGACATCAAAAGTATTCTGAATTGCTCTGGTTACTGATTATTAGTAAGTAGTATAAGGTAATACACGAAGGTGCAGTTGTAGAAAATGCAGGCAGTTTAAATAGCATTAATGTTAGACTTTTGAGCCTTTGTTTCAGAAAACCTTGGAAACTATTTATATCTCGGTTGTTGTTTGGAATCCTATGCTTTTCGACCTGCAGTAGATGTCCGGTGTTGATCTTAAGAAAAGCTAGCGATATTTTTGTTAACTATGTTGAATTACCGTTTTCTTGTGATAGTGGGGATCGTAACTATTATGAGTTTAAACTTAAGACCAGTAATGTAATATTCTACTGTCGTGCAGGTAGTTTTTTCGACACAAATGTTTTCTAAATAGAAGCATCAATATATAAAAGGACTTTGGAGATAGCATTAAACAAATAGGATTGTTTTACGATAGAGGAATAATTTGATTATGATAGCCTGCAATATCCAGTTACGTACATTAAAGAATTACATTGTTCTAGAGAAGGAGTGTCGCGTCACTTGACTTTAAACGTAGGTTTTCTACTCTCTGAATGGTATACGTTTGGTAAATTATCTGATGTGTTCATATCTCTACCTAGTTTGTGAGAATAATCTTCATTGCCCAAATATTAGTACTAAGAGGGTACTGATGCGTTTATGAAATTAAACAAGGTACCGAACAAATAGATGTAACACGCTATTTTGAAATAACCTAAATTGTCTTCATCAATATCTGTTTACAACAACATATCATGTAGATGGATCCTATAAAATATAAAATGCAAAATACCACGATCTGTTAGTTTATTCTGTTTTTAGAACAGATTCAATGAAATATTAGATATTCATATCACATTTATAATTTGGTTTATGTTTACCAAATACAAAGACAAGGATTCGTCTAGAACGCTTCATTCCAAAAAGATTATTTAAGTGATCTAACATAATCATTTTAATTTGAAATCATTACATAATCTTTGGAGATTTTCCGATGTATTCGCTATACTTCAGACTTTTCAATTGATGAAAACTCAACAGAGTATGAAATCAAATACCACAAAGGTACTAAACTGTCTATTGCTAACATAGAAGAATGAATTGTGATTTTTGATCTTTTGAGGTTAATCTGTGCAGTCTCAAGCCAGAAAAAAGAGCAGGTTTGGGCATGGGGTCAGCAACCTCATTCGGTATAAACCGACGTTTCTAAGAAAACGCTGACCAGGGAACATCATGTAAACCCCTCAGGCTCTGTCATGGGTGTTGACGGATCTCCACTTGGAAAAATTATAACGCCTCATGGTGAGAGCTGAGATTCTTAAGAAATTATGTGACTGATGTCCTTTCTGACAATCATAACAGCAATTAAACTAGGTACATGGTACTTTATTTCCCCAAAAACGCATACACAAAGCTTCATGGGTCTCACCGGGTCACACTACAGAGAACCAGCCATATTATTTTCATCACTGCAAAATCCAGATGGTCAGTGGAAGATGTGAGAACCAAAAGAGGAGCTAAAGCACTAGCATCAGACACAGGTAGAAGCAAAGATGCTCTGTATTCTATTCAGAAGAGTTTGGCAGGAACAAGTACCGACAAACTGTGAAGAAAGACACATTATCGGGCTACAAAATAACGATCTCTGCAAGTGTAAGAACTAGAAAGGCGTCTCACTTCTATCAGTACCTGGAAAGGTTTTCAATTGAGTGTTGTTGAACGGAATGAAGGATTTAATAGACGCCAAACTTCAAGACCAACAGGCTGAATTCAGTAAGAATCAACCATGCAATCGATCGTAGTCTTACAACGCTTCGGATTTCATCACTAAGTTTCTAAATTGCACACTTTGATTCTAGTCATGCTGCTTGATAATATATTACATTTAGCGGTAAATGGAACTAATACGTCCAATTTGTAATATTTTTATTCCATGTATAACGATAGTACTGAATAGACAAATAAGTTACTTGGTCGTTTATTTTCAGTTGGTACCGAATAACGTTTCTATAAGAATATGGATAAGGAAGTAAACTATCAATAAGTAGAAATTATATTGAAGGGGAATCGGTCTCATGGGTTCCAAAGAATCTCGGCTTTCACCATGTGGCGATATGATTCTTCTGCATGAAGATCTTTAAACTCGGAAGACGGAGTTTATGTGGTGTAAATAGTTCCCTCTGATTAGCGTTTTCCTTAGCAAAGTTGTTTTCTACGGGATGGGGTTGATGAACCCATATCCAACCCTCCTTTTTTGCCCGAACATGGGACCGGCAGTAACCCTTCAAGTGCTACAGAAGTAAACAGACGAAGTTGCGACACTACGGATAATCGTTCCACAATCGATTGAATGGAACTCGTCACTATACATCAACTTCCTTAATCATGCGAAAGCATTTGATAGTGTGGATTGGATGACCTTACGGAACCATCTTCGTCACTAAGGTGTGTCTGAGAAAATCGTCAACATCATATGGAATTCATACGATAGACCACGCTGCAAAGTCGTGCATGCAGTGCAGCAGACAGACGCATTCCAAGTGGAGATTGGAGTCAGACAAGGCTGTTTACTCTCCCCCTTTCTTTTTCTTCTGGTGCTTGACTGGGTCATGAAGACCTCCACATTTGAAGGGAAGCACGGGACATAATGGACAGGTTGGATGCAACTAGACGATTCGGACTTGACAGATGACCCAGTTCTTCTATCCCATCCCCATGAACAAATGCACATGCAAACAACTAGTGTATCCGCAGCAGTCTCTGCATCAGTAGACCTCAACATACACAAGGGAAAAAGCAACATCCTCAAATACAACACGGAGAACACCAACCCAATCTCACTTGATGGAGAAGCTCTGGAAGATGTGGAAAGTGTCACCTACTTGGGAAGCATCATCGACGAACGAGGAGGATCAGATGCAGACTAAATGGCAAGGATTGGAAAAGTAAGGGCAGCATTCCTACAGTTGAAGAACATGTGGAACTCGAAACAACTGTCAACCAATATCAAAATCAGAATCTTCAATACGAACGTCAAGATGTAAAAGTATTTAAAAGCAGTTGTTCACGCAAGATACTGAATGTCCTTTGGCCGGATACCATTATGAACAGCCTACTGTTGGAGAGAACTGACCAGACTCCAGCTGAAGAAAACGTTAGGAGATGATGATGGAGGTGGATAGGACACACATTGTGGAAATTATCCAACTGTATGACGAGGCAAACTTGGAGTCCTCAAGTGAAGACGAATGAATACGGTGCATCGAGAATAGGAAGCAGATTTCAAAAGGATGAATACCAACTGGAAAGGATTGCCCGGGACCGAGTTCGTTGGAGAATGCTGGCGAGTGACCTATGCTCCTTCATGTGGTGTAAGAGATAGAATTATGATACTAATTCCAAGCTGCACTCACATTTTAACTTGATTCTTGTAAAGCTTTTGTACGTTATTATTCTAGTTATTTGTCTACGTTATTGACGTACTATTCGTTTGTCAGCTTTTGAATTTTATCTAAAGTCATGTTCTCTTAGTATTTTCATTCTGCTTACGATCATTTTCCTGAATTTTTATATAGTTTTGATTAAGGCTAAAAAATAAAAATTCTTCTTTTTTTCGTTATATGTTCACTAACAAATTGATGGTAAAATTGAAAGTACCAAAGTGATTTTGTATCTCTTCCTAATTGTAAATAAAATATTTTCTTATAAAAATTCTCTACATCAAATCTTTATCTTAATGAAATAATTCGGAAAAAAGTTTTTTAATCAGCGACCTAAAATATCGAACATTTGGCAAAATTAAAGTATAATAGGTTTTTTTGCTGGGGAATTACGAATGAAAAATGGGAATATAAATCTATAGATTGATCGAATTCTAGCTTGATACGTTTTTG